GGCAGGCATTCTGCTATTGAGCTATACTCCCAGCCCTTAGCTGCATTAAGTTTTGAAATCTTTCTTCCTGGTTAAGTTTATTTCTTAGGCAAACTTGCTGTACTAATTCTGGATTTGGCATTTTCTACCAGAATTTTTTTTTTTTCTTTTCTTCTAGCAAAGAGTAGCATTGAAATACTTTGGCAATTCAGCATGGCTATCTCTTCTTGTCTCATGGTGAACCTAATGTTTGCATTTAAAAATATCTGATTTATAGTAGAGCAATTTAGTAATTGGTAGTAGTCTTAAGAATGAAATACATGTCATTCATTTTAACTTTCACAGATGATAATTCCAGTTCTTTGCAACATGAAACCTGTGGTAAAGTAAATCTCATTATATCTCTCACATAACTTCTCAAGCTTCTGAGCTTTTTCCCGTTTGTCAAAAATTTTCCATTTTTTAGGTAGCAAGAGCATTATGGTAACCACTGTTGATCAACTTGTATTCTGTTTTTACATCATGTACTATGTCCATCCTTTGTTTTGACTGACTCTGTTTTGTTTTGCCACATTTGGTTTTATTCTCTTCCAAAAAAAAAAAGTAATAAGAACTGTGGGAGTAATAAAACCCAAAATGTGTAATTATTATTGTAAAAAAGAGAGGAAAAGAAAGTGCTCTAAAGGTTATAACTGCATATGTGTTTAAGTGTGTAAGATAGATAACCATATTACTAAGTTTTTGTTGGATCTTTGAACACAACTGTTTGTAGTCTCACTATTTGAATGTCTACTTTGAATGTTTTAATTTTGTAACTTGAACAACTATTTCTAAGATGACAATATGTAACCTATTAACTAGTGATTTCTTACAGTTTATTTTTTTTGACATTCTGTATTACTTGTACCCTTTTTCTGTTTTGTTTTTTTTTTCTCTTTAAATAAAAAAAATTCCATAAACATAAAAAAATATCAAATTTAGGAAATCGATGGCATCACGGGGCAAGGTTTTGTTTTTTTTTCATAATTGTTCCTGTGAATCACAATTATTTTCCAATAATGATGAAAAAACCCTCACTTTTACATGACTGTAAGACATTTATCTGTATTCATTTATTTCACTTGTGGTAAACTTAAAAGGATCTGTAAAAGCATAGTTTTAGAAATAAATATTGCCACAATATATAACAAAGATAATTAACAAAAAATACCAGTAGGATACTAGTGGATGTAATCTGGCCTCAAGTTCTAAATACACACCTGAACTCAGAACTTTTGAAATATGTTCCATCACTTTGTGATAACCATATTGTCGTATCTTGACTTTGTTCCTTTCTTTTTCTTTTTGGTCACAGAATTATGAGAGAAGTATAGGGTGCTGCTTTCTCATGTTGCTGTAATTACATATAAAAGCCAATTCAGGGAGCGCTTCCAAGCATATTGATAAAAACTTACTTCAGTGGAGTATTTGAGTAGATATCCAGCATACCACTGGCTGTTTTTCTTTTGTGTTAGATGGGACAAAGAATAGTCTCTAAATACTTGATGGAGCATTTTTCTGGACAATATATTTTTGGGTGACTAATTTTCTTTAAATTAGAGTACATGAGAAAAGTCTGGTTAATCAGTGGCCTAGGCTGTTGGGCTCCTATTTACTCTATAATTATAATGTATATTGAATGTTCTCATTTATATTATCTCTTCAACTCTTTGTGTAGGTATTCTGATTGCTTGATTACATCCACCTGGCATTGTGGTTTTTAAAAGGAATTTATAATAAAATTCTTCTATCTTAGTAGGTAAAATGAGACAATGAAAAAACAATTGATAATTGAAGCATGATTGTGTCTTCTTGACTTTTTACATAGTATTCAGTGAGTTGTAGGTTTGGGATAAAGAGAAATAAATATATTTTTGTCCTGGTCTGGAATGGTTTATCCAGTCCGGGATAGATTATAGGGAGGTTTGCTGCTGTTTTCTTTTCATACAATGTAGCTCTACTTTTCATGAGTTTTATGTTTTTGTGGTTTTGCATGAGATTTTTTTAATAAAAATGAGGTTCTGTTAAAGCTACAGACATTTGATAAAATACTACTTTCTGAACATATGTTATGGCCGAAGAGTTTTCATATCTGAAATTCTGTCATTTGTAACTGATGATCGTGGTATGTATTTAAGTTGTTGTAGTGTGTATTGCAGTTCTGTGCACTTATGTGTTATAGTTTTCTTTTAGTCTGGACTTTTGGATAATGGACAAACTTAATAGTTGTAGCAATAAATAAAGAGTGCTTTATATTGATGGAATTGAGGGTACAATTACCCCAAAATATGCAACTTGACATATTGAATATTAGAAGCTGAAATAATTTGAGAAAACAGCAGAAGCAGAATGGTCTCTCTGACTTTCCTCCCACCATTTTTCCGTGAAACAGGCCTTAAAATCGAGGAAGGATTTTCTGATTCTTCTATGAAATAAGTTATAAGACTGTCATGTGAGAGCTGTCTTCCATATACCTTGAGGAGAGGTGCTTCTTTATCTCCAAAGGCAAACAGGCTTTTAAAAAAAAGCAGACAGGCTTTTTGAAGCTCTCTCCAGTTATGTTTGTACTCCTTGGGCTCTCATTTTTCCATGACTGAGCAATCTTTTTCACACCTGTATAAAAACCTTCAAGATTAACTCTTTCTTCAACTGGATCTTAATTTCATTATGAAGATTTGTGTGTCATTAAAGCTTATGGTAAATTGTGTGGTTTTCTGTTGTTAATCCCCTCTACCCTGCCCTATGAACTCAGGCCTTCCCTAATGAGCTACATCTCTAGTCTTTTTTTTTAATTTTGAGACAAGAGCTTGCTAAGTCACTGAATTGGCCATACTGGATTTTGTGATTCTCCCAGAATACTGAGATTACAGTTGTGTGCCATCAATAGATACATGAGCCATAAATTATTTTAACTTTTAAAAATTTTGTTAGTATATGTTTGTAGTACATGTACTTTATAGTCATCTTGGGGGTGGATACATGTATAAACTGCTGCTTGTTTCTTTCTTTTTAATCCTCTTCCTTTTCCATACCCTTCCTTTTCTCCTCTAATTTCCCTATCCTGATTTTCATTCATGTTGATATTACTAGACTTAGCATATTATGGCATATAATATATTCATTGAGGTTATTAGGTTGAACCATAATGCTATTTTTTGTGTGTGTGTTTTTGAGACAAGGTTTCACCGTGAAGTTCAGGCTGGTCTTGAATTTGCAGCAATCCTTTTGCCTCAGCCTCCCAAGTACTGAGATTTAGCCTTGGGCTATCATGCCTGACTAAGTCATAAATTTAGAAAGATAGAAGGAAAGATAGTTTTCCTGCTTTACATTATTTATTTAAGCCTTAATCAAACTTGCAAAGGAACTGTTATATTCATGATCACTCAATGAAACAGATTCAGAATCTACAATTTCTCTTTGTTATGCTTTTGGGCAGGAAGGTAAGTACACATTTGGAGTTTAAAGACACTGGCTTTTCTACACATTTTTTTCTGACTGATTTCTGTCACAAATTTTAATTCCCTGCTATATTTGGTGCCTTTAACAATTCATATTATAACCTGGAGTTGTTTTGTAACTTCTATATCTGTTTCTTAAACTTGGGCACTTTGACAGTCTCACAGGTATCTCAGCACAGCAAGTACGAAGTTGAAGTCATTTAATCTCCCAGATATTTATCTCTTCTCATATACCTTTTGTTAATTTCCTTTTTTACTTCCACTTCCTGTCTCAGGTTGGGGTTAATTCTGGGAGGGCAGTCCAAACAACACATTCTAGGAACACAAAGTTCTTTTTTCATGCTAAGGCACTTTACAAATAGCGGGACCAACTAGTGGAATAGGTGATGTACAAATGTGCAACTTATTGTTTACACCAACCCTGAAAGAAGGTTTCAGGAGAATCAGTTGCTGGGTACCTTACTCTGATGGTGTTCAGCATACACATACAAATGTACTTTTTTCTTTTTTCTATTTAACTTCAGGTCTTTATCTAGTGACCTCATCCTCCCAGAAAAAACTCCTCCCTTACTTTTCCAGATCATGCTTCTGGGTAAACCTAAATGTAGGGTATTTTGTTGTTCCTAATCTTAATTTCTCTCATTAGTATTTTGGGGTAGACCCATTGCTAGGGAACTAAAAGTGGCTTGTACAGAATAATTATTATTTTTGTTTTTAAATTTTTTTTGTTGATCCTATACTCTACCTGGTTAAGTTCCCACTGTATCCTTGACTCTTGGTTTGAATGATGTGTACAGGATGTAAACATTCTGTTTTATTTCTTTGAGTCATTGGGGTTGGGGATTTAGCTCAGTGGCATAAGTGCCTGCCTGGCAAGCACGAGGTTGTGAGTTCAATCCCTGGTACCAAAACAAAACAAAACAAAACAAAACAAAAAACTCTTAAGTCATTGTGATCTGTTCATGTTTCCTTGGATTTGTTGATATCTGGTGGTTTTCAGCCATGTCATCCTGGCAATGAGCGCAAAGCCTGACACGGAGTTGGCATTCAATACATGTGGGTATTTGTGCACCGAGATGCAGGGTATTAAGGGTACAAAGATTTACAGGGCAATATAAGGCTGAACTTAATGTTTTGATTGGGTGGCAGGATGTGGTATATAAATATAACATCATAGACACTACTTTCCTGAAGAATATTGTCACAACCACATAGGAGTTCTTTGTTATTTTCAGTTACTTTAAAAAAAAATTCTTTTGGTACTGGTACTTGAATTCAGGGCCTCATGATCGCTAGGCAGGCCCTGTCCTACTGAACTATATTCTTGGCCCTTACAGTTACTTTTTATATGACTATGTGCACATGTCCTATATATAAAATACAGCATTATATATTTTGCTGTGTTGGCTCAGGTGTTTACTTTGAAGGTATTTTTGCTATACAAATATAATAATGTAAAATTATAGCTCCATATTGTGCTATGTAATACTTTTATTACGAATTTCTACTTGTTTTTCTCCACAGGCAGCAGAAGATGTCACTTTCATTGGGCCTGACACACATGCTATTCAAGCCATGGGTGACAAGATTGAAAGCAAATTATTGGCCAAGAAAGCAAAGGTTAACACAATCCCTGGATTTGATGGGGTAGTAAAGGTGAGAAACTGTTTTATCCTAATCCTTATAGTACATGTCCTCAAGTCATGTACTTGTGGCAAGTGTAGGGAAAACGTATTTATTACTTTTTTGAATACATATGAAGTAAAAAAAAAGCAGTCTTATTTACAACTTGGATTATTTTCCATAGCATAAGCTAAAGAGTGTAAAAACCACTTAAGCATTACATTTAATGAATCAGTATTGATGCAGACTTTTCTTAGGAAAAAACATGATGATTAAAGATGTGCTGTAGGGGTTAGGGTTGTAGCTGAGCAGTAGCATACTTGCCTGGCATTTGTGGAGGCCTGGGTTCAGTTCCCAGCATGCAAGGAGGGAGGGAGTCAAATTTATGAATTTAAGTGTTTTTATGTATCTTGATATTCTATGTTTACTTTGGGCCTTTCTCCGTATGCGTAAAATGTAAATTATAATCCTGTTTTTGTTGGAAGTGGTACTAGATCCCAAACAGTGAGTAAGTAGCTTAGCAGCTGGAAGCTTGTGAGGAGAAAATGCAGAAATTGGAGTGTCTTGATCTGCCATCCCCCCTAGAAAAAGTATTCCTGTTTTTCTAGTGAAAAGAAAGTCCTGTGTAGGTTTTCAACTTTGTGATTTGAGTTAGCCTGCAAGAACTCTTCATTTTCGTGTCTTTTTATTCCTTTTGACATTTTGTATTGGTCAGATTTTCACTGTGAAGGGTCATTTTATGCATCACAGGTGAGCTGGGAAGGTTGGCCCCTGTTTAGTGAATATCCTCAGCCCCTCGTCTATGTTTACGTGTACACTTGGCCCTGCGAAGCTCCAGGTTTTGCATCCACTGATTCTACCAACCTTGGACTGAAAATATTTGAGAGAAAAAAAGTGCATCAGTTTTGAACATATACAGACTTTTTTATTCCTTAAAAAATACAAATAACAACTATTTACATAGTATTTAGTTTGTTTAGGTTTTTAAAATAACCACGAGATGTTTTAAAGTGTACAAAGGTGACAGACTGTAAATGCTACTAATATAAGAGACATAAGCATCTTCAGGTGTTAGTATTGCTGGAGAGTCTGAAACCAATCTTCTGTGAATACTGATGGATGACTATATTTGCCTCAGCCTGTTTTTATTTATTTGTGTCTTTCCTCTTGTCTCAAGGAAGAAGAGATATTCTATATGCTCTTAAAAGTCAGTTCTTCTTTTTGTGCTCCAGATATATTCATTCTAGACTTCATATGGTACGGTTTTTACTGAGTATCTTTTCTTTTTATCTTTTTATCTTTTTATTTCTTCCCTTTTTTATTTTTGCGTTTTAAAATTTTGTCTTTTTGAGACAGGGTTTCACTATGCAGTTCAGACTGACCTTGAACTCAATTTGTAGCTGAGGCTGGCCTCAAACTCTTAAGTCTTCTTGCCTCATCTTCCAAGTACTGGGATTTCAATTTACATGCCACGCCCTTTCTTTTTTTTTCTACCTTAAATTCTCATTTTTTGGTTCCTAAGTCCCATTACTACTAAAAATGCTCAACCAACAGATGTACTGGTCACTTGGCTAAGTGGGAAGGATGTGGTAACAACTAAGATACATAGGATTAGTGGAAAAGACAACTTTCTCCCATTCATAAAACATGATGACCTTTATCACTCCACAGCCACCATCTTCTTTCTCACTTCTCTTTCATAGTTGAACTTCTTAGAAGGCTTGTTCCTTACTTTCCTGTCTATATCTTTCATTTTCTTTTGCTAGATCTATCAGCAAATCTCCCTTTGTTAAACCCAATTTATAACTTAAAATCCTGATCTTATTTCGGGCTCTTACAAGCCCTGGAGCCTGCTTGTCACTCTCATCTTGCTCAAATGCTATCTCTTTCTGGCATATTACTCAATTCTATTTAAAACAATTTTTTTCCTTGCTTGAATGCTGTCTTATAGTTTTCTTGCTGATTGTCCTATTCTTGTTCTTTAAATCTGAGTTTTCTCTTGGGTTCTGAGGAGGACATTTTCTGTTTTTTTTCTTAAATTTTATTTTGAATGTAGTAAAAATACAACAGAACAAGACAGAACAAAGCCAATGGAGACCATGCAGTGACATTGGTACAGAACTTCACAGCAGAATACTGGGATAATAGTAATAGGTACTATAGTATATCTCATTTTCACAATAGTTGTCCAGTCAATTAGGTATAGTGAAATTAAACCAATACAGAACATTGTAATACCAATTGAAGGAGAATATTGAATAGAGCAAAACATTACAGTGTGTGTGTGTGTGTGTGTGTGTGTGTGTTTGATTCTCAGCCCGTGTGCCAGTAGGCTCACAGGAACAGCTGACTGGTTCTGCTCCTGGCCTGCGCCAGGGGCACTTTCCAAGAAGGCACGCAAATTGCCTTCTTGTACAGCTGCCTAAGTCCCAGCATGGCCAGGTCTCATGTAGCCACTGGTTAATAGGTGTAATATCTCATTGTAAGAAGGAATTGTTCCCTGACTAAAGGTCCAAAGGTGACGGTTCTGGACAGGGACATGGGAATGCTAGGGGTGCTATTGATACCTAGAAGTTTGTTGACTCTAAGGAGGAAGTGCTTGTATAACAATGGAAGGAATTAAGGTTAATATTGTACCATCTTATCAGTGAAATTTTACACATTTATTCTTTAATAGTGAAAATTCAAGTGAGTCAGAAGTGTTAAAGAGTAAGTAGGTACTTGATTCTCTGTTGAACATTCCCTACTATAATTTTTTTCCTTTAATTCTGTTAGGTGATACAGAATAATTATTTTTCCAATGTCATTTCTGTTGCAGGTATCTTTATCAAAAGACTGGTGTTTAATTCCTGAATTGGAAGCATTTAGTTTTATCTATAAGGCCCAGATTATTCTGGGTCTTGCTTGATTTTTGTTTTCAAGCTTTTCAAAATGAATAGTATGGAGTTGAAAAACTGACTGTATGGTTCTTTCTAAACCAGTTTTTCCTGGTTTATGAAATTTTCTATTTATAGCTTGAGACTATTCAAATAGAATGGTGAGGAAGCTGGAATCAGCAACTCCCAGGTTTCCTCCTGAGCACAGCCTGAAGGTAGTAGCAGGCTCATCTTGGAAGACCCATCGGGCTTATCCTTGCTCCCTAGCATGCCTGACCTATTTTTCACAGGATCTTGTCCAACATTTTCAGTTTTCTAAATCTTTCTGACTATTTTTGTGATTTGGGGTTAAGTCATTCTTAGGGTCTTCTTCCTACTTTTTGTTTAATAGCGTCTCTGAGCTTTTTTACCAGCAATAGGAACCAGCTGATACAAATTTTGGGACCCCGTTTTTCTGTATAACTTTGAAAGTTATTAGCACTGCTTTTCAGCTCAGAGTGAGACTGTGACATTAACTCAGTCCTAAAGGACTTGCCCTATTCTTTCAGGGGTGTCATTTTAAGAGGTGAGATTGCTTTGCAGGTTGCTGGCCTGGCGGAAGGAAAGGAGAGATCATCAGAAGAAGAAAGAGCAGGAAGGGCATGGGGAATGAAGGGAGAGTAGGCTAGAGAAGGGTGGTTGGATAAATATTATTAGGATCTAGAGAATTCAAAGTTTTTCACATTTTCATTTGACTTTTCTTATTGCTTTTCCTGTTCCCTATGAACTTTGTATTCCCATGAATTTTGTAGGGGAACAGTTATTAAATCTGAATATTTTTGGAAGCTTCCTCATTGAATGAAGGAGGTACAGAACACTGTATATTTGAGATTTTGTTTCTTTTTCTTTTCTTCTTTTTTTTGGCTTTAAAGTTTGTTTTTAAGTGAACCATTCATTTCAAAAGTTTCCAGAAGAATCTGCTATTCCTGATGAAATGATACATTTAAAAAGATACAAATTTCAGTTGGAATTAAAGGTTTAATATATTTAAGGGAAGAAGTCTGGCTCAGACCACAGACTTGAGATACCCATGAGAATGTCACAGTGGCATATTAAATGTGTTTTTTGTGTTTCTCTCATTGTGGACTCTTAGCCCAGTGATTTGTTGTGTGTAATTATAAACCTGACAGTGTGCATACCTTATTACTTTAAGATTTGGAGAGGTCTCTCCCAGGCCCAAATTTATATAAACAAGTTAAGACAGAAGAAAATGCTCAGGGTTCACAGGTAAGTTTTCTTCTGTTTGAATGTGAGTTTAATGAAATCTGAACTCATCTCCTGGAACTAGCATGAAGGTGGATTTAAAGGTCCTATGTCTATACTCTTTCATGTGAACTTTGACTTATGACTTAGAATAAAAAGTAAATAAAATAAATGCAGAAGGTATTTTGTTAGTAACAAGGAAGGTTTCCTCTAATAAAAAGCTTTTTCGAATCTGATCAGAAAATCCAAAGATTTCTCATTGTCATTGAATTTGCAACTTTTATTTTACTGAATTTGGTAAATACTTTTTCACTTGAAAAAATAGAAAACCTTGAAATCTTTATCTTTTCAATTATTTCCTTTTTTGTATGCATTAGATGCAACATTCAGTTCTCAAATAATGATAGATTGTCATTATCATTGTTAACTTTAAGCACATAGCCTTTAATACATAGCTTTTAATAGGTATTGCCTAAATTAATTTGTTAAGCCACAATTGAACCTTCAGGTTCTAGTTTTCAGATAAACATTTAAAAATTATTTTAAAGTATCCCTTTGTATTTCTGGAAAATACTCTGTATTAGTCTTATTTCTAGTTTATTTCTGACATAAAAGGCTACACATATTTTTCTTTTAAATTTTGTTATGTGGATTTCTTTTGTAGTAATTTTACATTCATTTGGAACTATGCTACTTTTCAGTTTATAGTTTAGATTTATTGGCTAGAATACTTTTGAGGGTGTCTGTGCAGAAAGAGTATCATCTCCCACATTCAGAGCTGAATATTGAATCCAGAACGTCATATATGTTAGATGAATGCTTTCCTAATCATCTAACTATGCTGTACTATACTTATCTATTTTACTCCCTGTTCCATATCGAGGTTTGTTCATGCAGAATAATGCAAATTTTTTG